TGTCTTTTTCGTTCATTCCATAAGCTAATGTGTGGCTTTTTCATTGGACGCCTGGTTTAGAAATTGATTATTCTAGTATTCGTGGGTTTGTGAGGTTTGCTATAATTTTTGGCAGAGCTATGGTAGAGAGCCCCTCCAATCACCACCTCCACAACTCTTCACAGACACGTGGCGAGTGGTGATTAGAGGAGCAGGAAAAAAAGAAAAAGGAAAAAGAAAATGTAACCGATGAGAGAGAGAGGGGGTCAAAGGGGTGGAAGGAAAAGGGGGATGAAACATTTTTGTTTTTGGAAAATGAGTAGGAACACTAATTAGTGCTACCACTAATGATGTAGCAGTGGGTGGGACCCACTGCAACAATGTTTTTGTGCCTTGTGTTTTTTTTTTTTTTCAAAAAAGTTGATGCCAAATCATTAGTGATGCTTTAGAGCACCATTTTTAGTGAAATGTAGCATTGTTGACAATTTTTTTCAAAAAGGATCCGGGCCTTTTTTTTCCCCACTCCCACGACCCCCTCTTGTATTGATTGGCCAATTTTTTTTTATTTTTATTTTTTTTTTTCTCTTCCTCCCATCACCAGCCCCACGTGTGTGGGGTGGTGAAGATTGGTGATTGGGGGGTCTCATTCACATCTCAATTTTTTTTAATAATTTTAATTGCTCATTTTTTAAGTTTTTATGTGAAAAATCAAATTGATTCAATAATCCTAACAACAAATTTTCATTAAACTTGTCTAAAAAATGAACCATACAAATGATTTTGAAATAAATGGTCCACCTTGATTACTATCGGAATGGTTCTCAAATTGGTAAGTGAAGATGTATATGAACCCAAATAATCTCATTTGACACCATTATTATATTAGTTTACTAGATCTGACTACTCATAAATACGAAACAAACGTAACATACAAAATAAAAATAAGAAGTTGGCTTCTTTCTATTTGTCATTTAATTTGAGAAAATATTTAGATTTAATAAGTTTATTTTTTAACTAATGATTCATTTTTTACGATTCATTGAGTAGAATATTAATGTAAAAAATAAGATAATCGTACATCGATAGTTATATTTTTTTAATTAAATTTGTCCGATCATTTTGATTTTTTTGCATGAATATTATATTTAACTAGTCGTAAAAAATAAATAGTTCGGATCACCGAAATCAGACACTATTTGGGATATTTTACAAAAGTTTTTTTTTTTTTTGGTCACATCACTTTTTTACTTTCTTATATATTTTTTCGTAAAAAATCAAAAAGTAAAATTATTTAGATTATCTCAAACATCCTCTGAATTTCAAAATAGACCTACCAAATCTAAATACTCTGTAAAATTAAGATGGCCAACTTAAAATAAATAAATAAATAAAACTAAATCCAAAAAATAAAAATTAGGTAAATTACACTGACATCCCTTGAGGTTTATGTTTATTATAATTCCTACCCTTACATTTGGAAAGTTACATTGACCCCCTTTGTCAGTGTAATTATTTGACGGTGTTAATTTTTAAGTTAAAATGACATATTTACCCTTAACTTTTACATAGACTTTAAAGGGTAAATTACATTGACACCCCCTGAGATTTCAATTTAATACGGATCCCCCCTGACGTTTAAAAAAAAAAAAAAACTAATCTTAAAAAAATAAATATGAAGAAATATATTTAATTTGTAAAAAATTATTTCTAACCACTTGAAAGATAAAAATTATATAAAATTGATAATTATTTTTTATTTTTTATTTCTTAACCAAATTAATTTTTAATTTTTTTAAAAAAATTCTAAAAGTCAAACTATACATAACTTAAGAATATTTTGATAAGTTATTTTTTACGTTGGTAACTTATTTAATTATTTGTTAATTTTACGACATTTTTACCATCTGAGGCCTATTTGGTAACCATTTCATTTTTAGTTTTCAATTAATATTTACAAAAATTAAAAAAACTATCATAAAAACTTGTTTGATAATTTTTTTGGTTTATAAATGATTGTCACAGTTTGTAAATTTGAGAAAAAAACGTAAATTAAAAAAATGAGTTTATGTTGATTTTTAAACAAAAATTTAAAAATTTGACTAACAAAATTTATTTCAAATAATTTTTTTTCCAATTAATTTTTTTTTCAATGAATTTTTTTTTCAACTAATACTGAGGAGATAATTGGTAATGCTACTTTAAATCGTGGAGAAGGAATTGTAATTTCTAAAATGTGAGGGGTGTTAATATAATTTATCCAGTGAGGGCAAAATTGGTATTTTAAAAAATTAAATTGCTGACATCAACAAAATCTGTTAGTTGACCTAATAGTCAATTAACTGAGAAAACAATCTTTAATGAAACTTTAAACTTAAGAAATAAGGATGTAATTTCTAAAAAATAAAGAAAAAAATTGTAATAAGCATAAATCTTAAAAGTGTTAATACAATTTACTCAATTAAAGTTTTAAAAAATGTGTTTTTCATTATTGGCACCCAACAAAAGATGTAGCATCTCCAGCAATGATAGTCAAAATAGCTATTCAAAATTTTACTTTACTATTTTAGCTAGTTGGTTTTTTAATATACACTCCAACAGGCTATCTACTTTAACTATCTTTTGTTAAAATATTATTATAATTTAAATATCTTCTATTAAAATATTCTTAAAAACAAAAGTTTGAATTAAAAAAGGATAAAAAAAATTCAGAGCTAGTGCACAGTACCTCGTCTTTCCTAGCGAGGTACTGTAGCAAAATGTTGGTTTGGCTTCACAGTAGCTAGGCTGCTGGAGAAGGAATTTATGATTATTAGCTGGCTATTGTACAATTTTTGATAAAATGCATAGGGTGCTGGAGATGCTCTTAGAAAATAGAACAGAGGGGTGAAGAGTAGTCATTTATTTTTGTGCAGGCATTGAATGTAGGCAGCGTTACGAACACCGCATCAAAATTCTCTAGATACTGTAGTTTTCAAAAACATGTTTCACATGCATCTCATTCGTTTTTATATATATAAGCGTGGCACACTTGTTGCTCCTTCTACCGAATTAGGATCTTTCCCTTGCACACACTCTGTGTGTGTGTGTGTGTGTGTGTGTGTGTGTGTTTTGTTGTAATATATAAAGTATATATTTTTTTTAACATGCTTTTTAGTTAAGAATTTATTTATTGTTTACAATAAGTAATTATTTGATACTTTAAGAACACTATGTGGTATTATTTATGTAGTAGGTTAAATCAATAATGTAACGAAAAATATTGTAAATTGGATATAATGAACTCATTATTTTCAAGTAGTTGACATAGCACTTTTTCAGGGACGAATCCAGAATTATGTATTTGGGGGTTACTCTATATTTTAAAAAATTGGAGGCTACACTATATAATTTTGAAATTATCTACAAAAAATTTAAGGGTGCGAACTCCTATAATTTTAAGTTATTTTAAAATTTTTAATATAATATATGATATTTTTCAAATTTTTAGAGGTGCGGCTGCCCCCAGCCCCTCCTAAATCCATCATTGCACTTAGTGTGATTTGAGATTTTCTATACTTTGAGCATCACGTAGGTAATGCTTTATGATACTCTAAGATTGTTTAATAATTTTTATTCAAAACACATCATTTATAAACAATGCCATCTCTTTAATATTTTTTTGTCAAATAAAAATTAAATAGATTTTATAATAATTTGTGCTATAAATGATGTGTTTTTATTTTTTAAAATTAGAAATTTTGATTTATAATTTTTTGTGTTAAAATTACAAACTTACATCATCATCTCATACCGAACTATTCCACACTATTATAGAATTTTGATTTGTTCTTATTAATAATGAATATGTAATTTTTTATGTTTAAATTAATCTCATAAAATGATTATTATCTTAATGTCATTTATAAATTTTTTTTAAATAAAGAATTATAATTAATAAGTGCTCCCTCTAACTTAATTTCTTGGCTCCGCCACTGGTTCATTGCCTAGTGCTGGTAATAAAGTCATAAAAGTATCAATCTACAAAAATGGTTAGGCAAGAGAAGTTGGGCATCCCATCACTGAATGAATGTTAAACTTCCAAAAATAAAATATAAAAAAGAGGAGAAAGAAGACAAAAACAGAAACAGAAAAAAGCAAGGCCTAAACAATGGTTGGGCGGTTGCAGAAAAACAAAGGGGAAATAACCTGTTAGTGGGTCATGGAAAAAAAATTACCAAAGTGATAGACATTAAAAATATTAATAATCATAATTATAATTTATTTTATTAATGTGCAATAATATTTGAAAATTACCACTGATTGGTAATTCCCAAAAACAAAAGTGGAAGCTGGAATTTTAATGTGCAATAATATTTGAAAATTACCACTGATTGGTAATTCCCAAAAACAAAAGTGGAAGCTGGAATTTTCCAGAAAGACAATATTTATTATTTCAAGGTTATATGACACGGATACTGAAATTTTACAATTAAAAGACCTTTTTATGAATATTCATATTTGTTTAAGGAAAAATATCGAATTAGTAAGACATTCAAAGATTATATATATTTTTATGGTAATGCAACTTTAATGTGTAATGTGTATGGTACAAATTCTCTATGTACATGATGCAAGTCCTTACTGTTTGTCAAAATTATACCACAAAAAATTATATTTCTAGTGTAATAATTTTTACATTGTCCACTGATTTGATATTGTCATTTTCTTAATTATATAGTATATATGCATGCATATTGTTGGCAAAAAAAGCAATGACGGAGGAATAAGAATTAGCTAACTCACTCATAGCAACTATTGTAATACAAACGATGCAAGCATTATTCAAAATGATTGAGTGTAAAGCGTTTAAAGGTCAAGTGGGTTTTTAAGTCCACCGTCAAACACCAAGGCACAACCCTGGACGGGCGGTGAAAATTATCAAGTCATAATATGGTACAAACAAAAGGAGTTTCCAATGGAGCAGTGAAATGCATAGAGATTGGAAAGAACATGAACAGCAAAAGCACTCTGCTAGACTGATATTGGCACCGAGACACGAAAGCTAACTTATTTACTACTAGATTTTTTTGATGCAACAAACTTGTTTTTTTGTACTTTGTTCAGATACAGAAGACAATAAATATGGAAAAGCAAAATAGATTGCTCAATTATTAATGTGTAAGAGCATATCAAAAATCAAATGTAAACAAAGACAAAATAATAGAAAAATAATCTTTATCTTCATGTCATCTAAATTAAAATGAACACTACATTTTAGCATCCTTAGAGCATACCATACATACTTTTCGTGTGATTCTTCTTCTTCTTCTTCATCATCATCGATTGTCTTCAAAAAAGGTCGTCCTTTCATTTTCATCCTTCAAAGGTTCGTTATAAAAAACCCGACAACAAATAAGAAAATAAACAAAGTTAACCAGCCCCAAAATTGTAATTAGCCAATAATAGTAATCTACGTGACCCTCATTAATGTTTTTCGACAACCAGCTTATTTTACCTCCACTACTAGTGACATTATCCACGGTACTAACCAGAACACTGCCCACCAAGGCAGCTATCGCCATCCCGAATGTGCAAAGAGCTACCGCCATACTAGACATACTTTTAGAAAACCGAGTCATATAGAACTCTATTTGCCCGCTTCCATTAAAAGCATCGCCCGCTCCAAGCAAGGCAAACTGTGGAATTAACCACACTGCAGACATGTCCACAATGGCATTCGGATCATCCGCCACCCCTTCTTCGATGGCCATTTTCCGTCTTACGCTTTCGGTAATTGCTCCGATTGCCACTGCGATGCTCGTGACTACCAATGAAATCCCCATTCGAAACTTAGGGCTAAGACCACGTATATTTCCCGTGTATCTTGCTAATAAGGGCACCATTGCCCATTCATAGAGTCCAATCCATATTATTAGTGTCGCAACCATGAATACGCTAAAGGACCCTGCCGGAATCTCAAAGTTTGAGATAAGGTGTCTATCCATGGTCTTTGCTTGAAGCGTCGCGAATGAAGTTTGGGTCATACTCACGGTGATCATAATGGTAGTGGACCACATGGGGATGGCGTTAAGTAAAGTCTTGAGCGATTCTACTTGTTCCACGGTGCAAAGACTCCATGGATCTGATGCCGATCCATCTGGGTTTAAATCTCTCTCGGGATTTGTAATTATACAAGCTTTGTTCAAACACCTACAACATGGAGAGGAAAGTCAACAAGCTATGTAATAAAAACTGTACTCAATGTTATTGTAAAGATAATTGGAGGGGATGTGAGAGCTAAACTAAGCTCTTGGAGGCAAGTGGAAACTAATCAAATGAATTGGCAGTAGGCAATTGTTGGAGGGAAAGGGCTGTGCTGCATTTAGAGAGCAGTCTCTACCCTTTCTCATCATTTATTCCCGATGTGAAATTTTACAGGTTTTTACAAAACCTCTTAAAGTCTCCTGTGAATCTATTCTTCACACTAAACCAAAAAAGGGACAAAATCGAGACATAACATGTGGTTGGTTTTGGTTCCTCAACGAACAAATCGGAAAGCTTTGGTTCAGTGTTTAATTTTCCCTCAACCCCAACCAAACCAAACCGAGCAGCTTACACGCTTGGATATGCTGTTTTTGTTTCTGTATATGTAGCTTGCTTTCTTTCAATGAATTATTAATTACCCAAAAATTAATGAAAAAAAAGAAGAGAGAGAGAGGAAACCATTTATGCATGGAAACTATATACATATATATAAAAAACAAGCACATATTATGACTATTTTTACATGTTTAATTTAAAGTAATTAAACATTTCACAGGACCAAGCTTCTCAGAATATGGTAATTGAAATTATAATTAACAAAATCTTTATCACAACATACCAATGAAGCGAATATGACAATCATACAATACCTTAAGCTGTTGGTTGGTGCAAGGAGCTTCGATTTATCGCCTTGATAGTAACAATCATCACAAGGACTCGGAGGGAGATCAATGTTTCTGTTTTTAAATGCCACTACTAGAACTCGAGCAAATCCAGAAAACAAGCTCTTGCTAGCTCTAACTTTGACATAGAAAACAGAACCGAGTACGAAAATTAGAGCAGAGAAAGCCATGAGAAGAGCGGGGACTGCAAAACCTACTCGCCAACCGAAATTTTCTTGAATGTATACAAGAACAGTTAAAGCAATAACAGCCGATAATGCAGTTGAAGCATTGTACCAGTTGATGTAGCTTGCCAAAACCCTTCGATTATTCTGGTTTTCTTTATTGTCCAACTGGTCCGCGCCAAATGCCATAGAACAAGGTCTAATACAGCCCGCTCCAATGGAGATTAGTCCAAAAGAAGTGAATAATATGACATATGGACCTATTGAAGGAGAGTTGCAACTATTGTTTAACTGATCGCAAGGTACCGGTTTCAGCTGTGGAATCATGGCGGTTAGCCAAAGCGTAGTCATACCCTATGAAAACAGAACATGATAGGACCATAATTAGGGACTGAAAATTACAATGACAAGGCTTCTTCAATTATTTTGGGTTTTTTTTTATTTTTTTTCCCTTAAATTTGGGCAAGGTGGGGTGGGAATTGGGTTTGTGAAACATGAGGTACCAATCTTCTGAATTTTTTTAAATTTTTTAATAACTGGTTTTGGTGTTGAAATGGTTGGTCTCACCTCTTGATAATAATGCCAGGAATAGTTAGACATTCACACATAATTGGCACAAGAGAGTGGGTGAGAAATGATTGCCTCAAAAAACAAAAAAAAAAAACAAAAACAAAACAAAACAAAAACACATTAAGGTAAGCACATGTTACTTTCTTATAAAAAGAAGTTCAACAAAAGAAAAGAAAAGAAACATCTCTATTTCATTAATCAACAAACATTATTGTCTTTTTTTACTGAGTAATAAACAAAAACTATCAATTTCATTGTCATTCTCAGTTGGTGTTCGGAAAGTGGGTTTTTTTGTTAGTTTTCTTAGTTATAGGATATTATTGGAGAATTATTTTTTTGTGTTTGAAAAGATAGTTAGGTTTTTTTGTAATTGAATGTGATGTTTGTGAGAGAAAAAGTAAAATAATTATAGAGTTTGATGTAATATTTTGTTTGGATTTATTTTTTTTTATTTTGTAAAATATTTATCTTATAGTGAAAAAAAAACCAAAAAAAAAACCAAAGTTTCCAAACACCAGTCTCCCTCGATGGATATGTTAAAATAGCTTCAATTCTCCCTCTCTCTCTCTCTCTCTCTCTCTCTAAATTGAAAGTGTGTCCTAGAGTGAGTGTGTCCTAAAGCAAATTTACCTTTTACTCAACCAACTTATCGCTTCTCTCGACTAATTATCAATTTATCTTTAATCAAGTTATGAATAAATTATAAATATATTTTTTGAGATTTGTTTAAAATACGAATTATCCCATATAGTTTGGAAAATTACAAATACCTTTCCGTTACAATTTTTTATTTAACAGAATTAATTAAAAAAAATAAAATTTCTAACTGTTGACCTATATAATAATAAAATTATATGAATTATTAATTGAAATAAAATTTTAACATTATTAAAAATTATTAATTAATTCGATGATTTATTAATAAAAGAACCTATTTGTTATGAAATTAAAAATTTTAGGAGGCATAATGTAATTTTTAGAATCACAGGAAGTAAATTATAATTTAAGTAAACTTCAAGGGGGTTGTTTGTAATTTACCCTTGAGTTAATGTTTAACTTGTTAAGTACATCTAAAAGCTTTTTTACATCTATCTTTAGATGGCCATGGCTGGATCTAGTGTTAATTTAATACTTCTTTGAAGTATTTTTCAAGCATACCTAATTCAATTCTATATAAAAAAAAATATACAAACTCTAATTTAAAGCATTTTAAACAAGGCCTAGAATTTAGATTGTTTTCATTCCTTTGAAGTAAACTAGTTAATTCAAAGTTAGTTGAGCCGATAAAATAAAAATTTCACAAGCTTCAGAGTGGATTTAATTATCTATGCGCACACAAAGACGCGCAAATATAATACCTATTTCATTTTAAAAAGTGTTGCTAAAACTATATTCCATCAAAATTAGTGGAACCTAAGGCAGATTTCCAAGAAAAAATATGCTGAAAAAGCCAAATCATACAGAGGATTTGACAAATTTAGGGAAAAAAATTATATAAATAAATGACAAAATTGGGTGCAACTCATAACTTTACGCTGTGTTTGGTTGGAAGATTTGGAGAGAAATTTGGAAAGGGAAAGGAAAAAGGTGTGTGAAACTAGGTGAAATATAAGTATGTTTTATTCACATTTCACCTATCATTTCTATTTCCCTTTCCAAATCCCTCCTTAAATCTCCTAACCAAACACAACATTAAGGTTTTGTTTGCATCTTTGATTTCGGTAAGTATTTGTGAAGAAAAAAAACAAAATGAAAAAGAGATGTAAATAAAATATAAGATAAGGGCGCTGTTTGGGAAGCACAAAATAAGGCTATTATAGCCTATTTTGACAAATTAGCCTAAAAGCAACACTGTTGAAACCTTTTTAAAAAAAAAAATCTGCACAGCCGGCAGTGTAGGCTGTGCCTACACTGTCAGCTACAACCCTTGTCCCATCAATAAATAAATTACCATTTTACCCCTTGATATCAATTTAAAAAAATATATATTTAGGGATAAATTTATCATTTTAAATTTAAACATCATTTCAACACACTTTTTCAATACAATAACTCAACTAAAAAATCATCTCATCTTCCCAAACACAAAAACTAAAATAACCACTAAAATAATCAAATAGCCAAATAGCCTACTAAAATAGTCACTTCCCAAACGAGGCCAAGATCTTATGTTTGGCTTTTTTAATTTCATTTAGAGCATCTCCAACGATAGTAGGCATTTTACCTATCTAAATATTACTATAAAGTATATATTTTATTTTGCCTATCAACTGTTTTATGTTTTTACTCCAACCATGCTCTTTATTTTAGCTATTAATCCAAATACTATTAATTTTATAGAATGCCACGTCAACAACAAAGATGGAGGGAAATGATCCTAATGATTGAATACATTTTGCCTAGCGTTGAAGGCTAGCTACATGTAGCTAGTGAATATGAGTTGAGCCAAAATGCCTAATCATATGCCTATCTCGACTAATTATCAATTTATCTTTAATCAAGTTATGAATAAATTATAAATATATTTTTTGAGATTTGTTTAAAATACGAATTATCCCATATAGTTTGGAAAATTACAAATACCTTTCCGTTACAATTTTTTATTTAACAGAATTAATTAAAAAAAATAAAATTTCTAACTGTTGACCTATATAATAATAAAATTATATGAATTATTAATTGAAATAAAATTTTAACATTATTAAAAATTATTAATTAATTCGATGATTTATTAATAAAAAAACTTATTTGTTATGAAATTAAAAACTTTAAGAGGCATAATGTAATTTCTAGAATCACAGGAAGTAAATTATAATTTAAGTAAACTTCAAGGGGGTTGTTTGTAATATACCCTTGAGTTAATGTTTAACTTGTTAAGTACATCTAAAAGCTTTTTTACATCTATCTTTAGATGGCCATTGTTGGATCTAGTGTTAATTTAATACTTCTTTGAAGTATTTTTCAAGCATACCTAATTCAATTCTATATAAAAAAAATATACAAACTCTAATTTAAAGCATTTTAAACAAGGCCTAGAATTTAGATTGTTTTCATTCTTTTGAAGTAAACTAGTTAATTCAAAGTTAGTTGAGCCGATAAAATAAAAATTTCACAAGCTTATCTAACTAAATGCGCACACAAAGACGCGCAAATATAGTACCTATTTCATTTTAAAAAGGGTTGCTAAAACTATATTCCATCAAAATTAGTGGAACCTAAGGCAGATTTCCAAGAAAAAATATGCTGAAAAAGCCAAATCATACAGAGGATTTGACAAATTTAGGGAAAAAAATTATATAAATAAATGACAAAATTGGGTGCAACTCATAACTTTAAGGTTTTGTTTGCATCTTTGATTTCGGTAAGTATTTGTGAAGAAAAAAAAGAAAATGAAAAAGAGATGTAAATAAAATATAAGATAAGATCTTATGTTTGGCTTTTTTAATTTCATTTATGTTTGTGTTTTGTGATTTTTTTTTTTTAAATTGACTCAAATAACTTTACTTTTCATATATGTCTTGACTAGATAATCCTAAAGAAATTTGAATTCTTTTTATAAAAAATTTAGGAAATGCAAAAATAAACCAGTTTTTAGTAAGTTTATATATATAAATTAATTTACTTTTGTATTTAGTGAATTATTTTCAAAATTTACAAAAAAAAAATTAAAGTAATTTTATTTTGTAAAATTGTCTAGTTGAGACCTATCTACCTAAAATGTTAATAAATAAATACAAAAAACCATAAAAGACAAAGCAAGAATAAAATAAATAAGTTTGAAAACAAAAAAATTGGTCTGGTTAAAACAGTTTCGTTAGAGATAAATTTTTAATTTTTTTTAAAAAAATTGTGAGAGAAATAGTAAAATGAACCAGCTAACAAGCAACTCTTCTATATAATTTTTTTAAAGTTTTGTTTGTTTAACTTTTCTATATAATTTTTTTTATATAAAAAAAAATATTCGAATAATTTATTCCCAAACAAACAGGCAACCATCTTCTCTAAAAAGCCTCGTTAATTTGCCAAACGAAGAAAAGCTGCACGTGTTATTTTTTTTTTTTAAAAAGAGGTTATATGTGGTTAAAACTACACCAAACCAGTCCAAAATGCTTTATGAAAGCATATCACATGGAATTAAAATGGATTTTCAATTCAAATATAAGTTAATGTTTTTCATAACGTTCTTTTCACTTCACAAATTCTATCAAAATCGTGAGATCCAAACAGAAAATAAAGGAAGGTATTGACTTACAAGAAGGCTAGAGATAGATCCAAGAGCAATGACCCGAAAGCGACCCAAACAAGAATCAGCAAGCATAGCTCCAACAATGGCTAATCCATTTGAAAGAGCAGACCACAAAGAGAGTATGATTGAGGTAGTTGCCAATTCCATGTTATAGTCATTCATCAAGTAGAATACCATGTTAGGGCTCAATCCAATGCTTGCCAATCTCTCAAATGATTCATTCACTGTCAAAAAACAAAACACCGAAATTCATATATATGTATATATGATTAAAAATAAGTGTATATGTGAATAATAAGATTGGGCTTTTTTTTTACCAATGATGAAGGGAATGGTTCTGATTCCACCTAATTTGGGCTTAGGAGAGTGATTGAGTAGTGGAAACTTGTTGTTTTCTTCTTTATCTGAAGATGATGATGCCATTTTCATTTTCAACTTGTTCTATTCTTCTTCTTTCCACTTCGACTCTGGCACCTACTTTTCTCTCTCTCTCTCTCTCCCCCTCTCTCTCTCTGTCAGGTCAGTACTTCATTTCTCTTTAATATATATTTCAGTGTCAGGCCTACATGTCCTCGCTCTCTTCCGAGAAATTTTTGTATGCGGAAAGGATATTACGTGATACTATTTTTCATTAATTATAAATGTATATATTATTATTATTTTTCAAATACTTAACATGATATGTACTCTATTCGCATATAAAAATTTCTCCACTCTTACATTTGTCATGCCTTTCGGCTAAAATAGATATGTAAAAGAAAATATATTATTTTAATTAAATAGAATAAAATATTATATTTAATTTATAATTATTTAATTTTTTCTCCTACAAAAATAAAACTGACTAAAAAATCTATCCCAAACAAATTTTTTTAACCCCAAGCTGAATAACCAAAAAAAAGAAAAAATCAAAAAATAAACCACGTCTCAAACAAACTCTTACTTGACGCTGCCACTCGAAAAACATGTGTGGGAAACTATATTAAAATATAGAGTAATTACATCTTGGTCACATTTAATTGACCATTTTTTTCACTTTAATTTTTTATATTTTAAGTTTTTTTTACTTTATTATTAAATTTAATTTTTATTTAAAATAAGATAAAAAAATACTACAATAATTATCACATAACATAAAAAATATAATATTATCTTAAAGTTTAAGACTAAGTTTGGCATACACAAAATAATCCATCTTTTTATCTTTTTATTTTTTTTATCACATCACCTCTCTATTTTTCTTGACATCTTTTCGTAAAAAGATAAAAAGTACACTTATTTAGGTTATCCCAAACAACCCCTAAGTTTACATTAGAGATGTGAGTCATATATAATAAAATATTTTTATATCACGTAACTAACAATATGTCATTATTTTATCTAATTTTTAACAAAAAATAGATTTCGGAATAGTGACAAAAACTTAAAACATAAAAAGTTGAAGTGAGAAAAAATAAACTTGAAGGGACAAAGTAGGAAAAGGGCTAAACATAAAAAAAGAAAAGTATAATTTATCCTAAAATATATAAAAGTATGTAAAAAATATACTAACATACTAAATATATCTCTTGAGATTTACTTAAATATGAATTATTTCATTTGATTTGAAAAATTATAAATATCACTTGTTAGAATTTTTATTTAGCAAAATTAGTTTTAAAAATAAAATTCTTAACTGTTCTAACAATAAAATTACTTGAATTATTAATTGAATTATATTTCTGATATCATTAAAAATTATTAATAATTTATTAATAAAAGAGATCATTTATTGTGAAATTAAAAATTTTAAGGGCAAGATATTATTTTTAAAACTATAAAGATAATTTGTATTTTAAATAAACTTTAAAAATATATTTATAATTTATCTAATATTTTAATATTATGTATTGCTCTTTTATTGACAAATCTAAAGGCTATAACCCATAATAATAAATAAGGTTGCGTAAGGAATCCGTAAAATTCGTAATTCGATCCAATTCAGTTCCGTCCAATTCGATAAGTTTAGATTAGTTTTTTGAATCCGTGGTTCGGTTCCGGATTGAAAAATTAAAAATCCGTAGTTCACGGATTGAATCCCACGGTTCCAGATTGGAACCGATCTGGACCGTATACAAATAGTCTATATTTTTATTATACATCCCCCATAGTATCTTCTCTTATGTTATATAAAACCTAAACTCAAACCTAAATTCGTATAATATCTTCTTTTATTACTTTTGTTTGTTAGTTTTTAGTTTTAATTTGTAATGGTTTAAATACTTATAGTGAAACTAGTTTTTTTATAGTTATTTAAATTCTAGAACAGTATACCGTTATTGTAAAAAAATATGTTGATATTGTGAAACTAATATAGCGCTATATTTATGTTTTTAAGAAATTAAAGTGTTAAATATATATTTTTTTGTTATTTAATTATGTGAATCCATGGTCCTAAACCGATCCAATTTGTATTTAAATAGATTGATTCGGATTAATTTCATGATTTAAACGAATTGAATTGATTTTAATTTTTCAAAAACCATAAATAATAAATTGATCCTAATTTTAATCTAATCCGATTCAATCTGGACCATGCCCCCTTAATAATAAAGATATCCTGATGAGATTGTGAGTGGGGACTGATTGATTTCTCACTCCAATATATTTTAACGTTATCCTCAACAGAATCCTTGCACGTTGAGACTAAAACGTTATTTTTAATTTTTTTTGTTTTTTTATTTAGTGAAATCTTTTTATATTTTAATCTTTTTTTTTTTTGCATTTTAAATCTATTTAATCTTAATCTTTTTTTTTTTGCATTTTAAATCTATTTAATTTAGATGCACTTAAATAATAATGTGTGTGTGAAAAAATATAAAAAATAATACATTTGGGTATTTTTATATTTAATAAAAAATTATATTTTTTCATAAATATTTTACTTTCTAAAAATATTTTTAAAAAATTAAAACATGAGAAAAAAATTAAAAATAATTTTTAAAAACGCTTTCTCGGAGAGTAATTATTTGAGTGATATTATAGAAATTAACCAATTTTATAATAAAAAAATCCTGCTGTGCCAACTATTATTATTGAAGTTTGTCTTATTTTAAATTTTAATTTTTTATTGCATGGCATAGCAATTAGCAAAGGGGAGATTTTTTTTTAACGTCCTTGATATTAAGATTTTATAGTATAAAACATATCAAATATTTTCATGATATCTAAGATCTCTCAATATTTGCTCAGAGAAATTTCAATCCCAAAGAAATTCTCTCCAGAGAAAATTGAAATTCTCTCTAGAGAAATTCTCTAAGTTCAAGCCAGAGAAAATTGAAATTTGTTTGAGTACCAAAGAAGTCCAGAGAAAATTGTGAAGAGAAAATTTGTGTGGCTATCTAGGAAATTTCTCTGACTTCACAAATTTCTCTTGCTCTATTCACAAAGAATTTCTCTGACTTTGTGTAATATGTAAGCCAAGAATACAATCTTTACTAACAAATCCACAAATTTCTCTGGTCCAAAACCAGAGAAATTCTCTCCAAATCAGACAGATTAGAGAAATTCTCTGGATTGAAACCAGAGAAATTCTCTCTATTTGCAGCAGAGTTATATTTTTATGAACACACCTTGGTGATTGTACATTGATCCAGGAAATTTCTCTGACTTCAAATAAACCAGATTCACTTTGAGGATGATGATTCTATTGCCTACATCTGTCTTGAATGCAAGTTTTTGCTGTGCAAATCTTGTGCAAATTTGTCTTTGCAGGTAAAATGCTCATTTTGCCACCACCAACACACACTCACCCTGCTACCAATAAAGACTTAGGGTTGGTTTGGCAAGGGCTCATTGGGCTTTTTTGGCTCAATGAGCCATAAAAGATAGAATAAGCTCATGAGCCACAACAGACAAAACATCTCATCCAACCTCATAATCATTACACTCTTCTCTCACAAAAAAATCAAAAAAGCCAAAAAGCCAAAAGCCCTTCCCAAACTAAGCTTTTGAGCCCAGGCTCATATAGTCAAAAAAGTCAAAAAGCCAAAAAGCCAACCCACTTCCCAAACGGAGGAGTAAACTTGCACCAAAAAACAACCAAATATTATATAGAGATAAGAGGTCTACAATAGACTTTCACTGCAAACAATACAGTTTTCATGCACTGGCTTGAAAATTTCAGGGTAGAAAAATGTTTGAAAGGTAAAAGGTCCTTCATGCCATTGAAGGGATCAAACTTCCAATGAACTTCATTTTACTTTGATATTTGTAACTATATTTAATAAATATATAAAAGGAATAGAAAAAATCTATAAAAAAAAATAATTTAAAAAGTGGGAGAGGCAGAAGAGGGGGAACCAATGCTAAAAAAAATCAACACCAGGTTTCAAGATAAATAACGCATGATTGCATCTATAACATGACAGTTTACGTCATTAGAAGGGGAAAAAAATAATAAGAACAGAATAAAATATCATCCCATGTGGTTTTCCCATAAGAAATACATTCCATGTTATCCTTAGCTACATTGAATCCAAAAGTTTGAAGATGCATGAGTACATATAGACTTTTTGGTTCAAAAGGCCAACCAGTAATCACCTGTTTGATCCACTATTGACATTTGAAATGCTAAACGAATCCAAGGACTTGTTTGGTAAGTCAAAAAATTGAACAATTAGAGAAAATTTCGATCTAAAAAAAAATTGAACAACCAGAGAAAATTTCAATCTAAAAAAAATTGAACAACCAGAGAAAATTGAATTACTCAAACACCAAAAATAGAGACAAATAGTTACCAATTCCATAAGCTTCAGAACCAGAAAACTTGTTAGGCAAGTCCTCAGTGACATTTGAAAATTCAATATTCGGATTCAAAGAAGACACATTCTTAACTTCAATCTTCGGATCCACTCTTCTCTCTCGACCTCTCTTTCTCTCTCATCTTCTCCTCACACCCAAACCCTTCTCTTCTCTCTCCTCTTCCCCAAACCCCTCTGACCCCGAACCCATCTCTCTCTCAGCTCGCAATCTTTTTTGACATTAAATGCCCAATTTCAAAACCCTTCCTCATCAGCTCTCAACTTCACCACTAGCACCCTCTTACTTTCTTCGCCGCCATATCCTATGTGCTCTATTGCAACGCTTGTAATCGGCGAATCTGCACCTATTTTTTCCGCTGTGTCGAGTGCAAATTCAATCTCCATGTCAGTTGTTGAGATTGGTTCGGTGGAGATAGAGAGAAGAGCAGAGAGAGAGAGAGATTTCTTAAAATTTCTCTGTAATAGATGGGTGTGGGTTGAGGGACCTTAGACATCAAAAAATAATATTGTGGATCTCTTCCATTATTAAAAATAGGATAGGGACCTTAGACTAATTTTTCTTAAACAAAAATATTCACCTAATCAAGACGAAGATGATATTAAATTATTTTTGTTAGATAGTAAGGAAATAAGAGATCACTCACTTATTATATATGTTTTATGATTAAAATAAAATATTATTTATGATATTAATTATTTTTGTTAATTAGGAAATAAGAGATTACTCACTT